TTGATATTCAGATGCACACCTCGTGCGTACTCGCCTCGCCCTAGCGCCCATTTGCAAATCTCCATCTGTCTATTAGTGCCTCAGGCCAGCTCAGGCCGCCGCTCTCCCTTTTAAGCGTTACTTAATATTATGTGTGGCAGGCTTGCATCGGACCACTATCGGACCTCAGTTCATGATTCTTTGGCGCCGTGCATACTCGACGCTCGTAGCCTAGTAACTTTAGGTGTAACAGCCTCCCTACTCCACTCTACTACTCCACATCGTTGAAATAACAATCCCGCTGCAGGACCATTCCGCGCGCCGTGTCAGCCCGATGTCCGAATAGTCGCATCTTTTCCTCCACCGTCCTGGTCCGTCATAGATCACTCATAGATCGTCATTCAACCTAGCCTACTCGCACTTGTACCTACTTGTACCCTCTTGTACCTCTGTATAAGTATGTATTTTTCATGTCCTCGGAATCTCAGCTGTTCCGCTGTGCCGAGCTTGGGATAGCTTGGGATATGTTAGGCCTAATATGTCATGATGATGATATATCGTAGATTGTCATAAACAGCAGGTATGGTACTACTTAAAATATCAATCAACATCAATGCAATCATAGAAGTATTTTAGAGGTCGAGCGAGCGAACATGTAATAATCGAGGGTGTTCAAAGAGGTTCAAACTCGTGTGTACAGTCATTTACCACTCAATGACACACTTGAAAAAAATATTGATTCAAGGGATCATAACGTCTTGACCCAATCAACCCTCATCGCCAGGTCGTCCTCAGCTTGCGATATGTTAGGATATGTTATATCTGATTTCTGATATCGTAGATTGTCATAAACAGGAGGTATGGAAGTACTTAAAATATCAATCAACATTAATGCAATCATAGAAGTAAAGGTCTCGCGAGCGAACATGTAATAATTAAGAGTGTTCAAAGAGGTTCAAACTGAGACTCGAGCTCGTGTGTATGTAGAAAAAGAAATTGATATCGAATCAAGGGTACATAACGTCTGTTCAGTGTTCATTATTGGCATTTCAGGCATTTCGGCACATTTGCCACATCTTGACCCAGTCAATCCTCGTCGCCAGGTCGTCTGAGTCACTCGTCGGCCAAGTCGCACCCCAAGTGTCTCCAAGTGCCTTCAGGTGTCCTACCAACCAAACAAAAACAACCATTCAATCCGTACGCCCACGAGGGAAAAAAAGGGAAAAAAAAGGCTACCCACCTGTGCAAGCGCGAAAATCATACATTGCTTTGGAGTCTGGACTAAATAAATTTCAAGTGTCAAAAGCACACAAGGCCGTGATATTTTCAGACACGATACATAACGTACTCTCCATCTGTCCATGGCTCCCCCAACGTTATCTGGGAACCACCCCGAAGGAATCTAGGCTCGGCGCCGTGGCATATCTCGTAGTAGGTGTAGGTGTAATAGCACCATCATACTAGGCCCTACTAGGCCCTACTAGACCCTACTAGACCACCTCGCTCAAATACCAATCCCGCTGCAGGAGCATTCCGCGCGCCGTGTCCAAATCGCCGCATCTTTTCCATCCTCATTCACCGGCATTCACCCAGTCATACAACCTCCCCTACTCGCACCCAGCACCCACATGTCTATGTACTTTCATGAAGCAAGTGCAGCTTGAAGTGAGTTGGCCAGGTAAATATTAGAAACCACATGCTGTTCCGCTATGCCGAGCTCGGGAAGGCTTGGGAACTCTTGGGATATGTTAGGATATGTTAGGATATGTTATCTGATAGTCTGATAAAGTCTGATAAAGTCTGATATCGAGATTGTCATAAAACAGAAGGTATGGAAGTATATAGGTATGGAACCAAGTACTTAAAAGGGTATCAATTAACATCACATTAAAGCAACCACAGAAGTAAATAAAAGGGTCTCGCGAGCGACCAAAAAAATAATGCGCGAATAGAACAAGAACGAATCCTATGCATGTATGTATGTAAGAATTAATAATTGAGAAGTCGTGTATGCGTGTGTAAGTAGTATGTCGAAAATATAAAACATTGATATCGAATCAAGGATACATAACGTCCGTCCGTCCTCCAGTTCTCCGGTGTTCATTGAGCATTGAGCATTTCAGGCATTTCGGGCACTTCAGCAACATTTTCAACATTTTCCACATCTTGACCCCGGTCAACCCAGTCAACCCAGGTCACCCCTCATCGCCATCGCCAGGTCATCTTCGTGACGTCTGTTCATTCATCGTTCATTAGGCATTTCATTAGGCAGTTCAGCACATTTTCCACATCTTGACCCAGTCAACCCTCATCGCCAGGTCATCCTCGCTCGTCGGCCAAGTCGCACTCCAGGTGTCCTACCAAACCAAACATTCAATTCATACGCCAACGAGGAAAAAAAAAGGACTACACACCTGCGCAAGCGCGAAATCATACATCGCTTTTGGACTAAACTCAAGTCAGAAGGGCCATAATATTTATGCACAAAACCACGTACTCTCCATCAGTCCACGGCTTCCCCCCCACGCCATCCGGGAACCACCCCGACGTCCCGCCCGCCGCCACCGAAAGAATAAGATAAAACTCCTGATCAAACGGCGCACTCCAGCTATTTGCCCCCCAGATATCCTGTACCGCCACTTCCTCGCCTTCCCCATTTTGCGCCACGGAGGGGTACTTCCCGCGGGACCAGAAGGACTGGGAGGAGGATTTGAGGCTGAAGTCGAGCATGGATTGGAGGCGTGAGTCGACGTAGAGGCGCATCCAGGAGGGGGACCATTCGAGGGTGTAGGTGTGGAAATCTGGTGGGGGGGCGAAAGAAGAATTAATGAAGGATTTGGGTTAGTGGGTAGGTAGATAATTAGATAATTAGATGGTGTGCTTAGGAGATGTACCTTCATTAAATCCCCCCCGTTTCATAGACCACCACCCGAACATCTCGGTCAACAAGGTTTGAAGGGGAGAGTAGTTCAACGACGAGCGCACAAAATTGAAGCCTTGAGCGGGATAGGAGGCATCGTTGCCTCGAGCCTCCATGATCTATAGGGGGACAAATTAAATCATCAATCAGCAGGTGTTCCCTGAGCTCCACGATAGGAGAAAGGGAAGGGAAGGAAGAGTTGCTTACGTCTATTTCTCCGCTCAAAGGCCACTGTCCATATGTGTTATTCTGAGGAAGCATCCTGAATGCGGGAGGTCAGGGTTAGAAATTTTGACATAAAGAACGTTTACGTTCACCTACCAGATAGCGGGCCACAACCAGTCTCCACGGGGTATCTTCGCGCGCACCTGCACACGGCCATACGTGATGCTATGCGTCCCGTTAGTGCTAATCATAGCACTTTGTACAGGAGGCACGACCGTGTTAGTCGAGTTATCCGACGTAACACTACACGCAGTCTCATTCGTCGTCGTACAATCACTCCCAAGATCATACTTATACCCGCCAAACACATTCTGCGCACCGATATCCTGGCTCGTCAGGGTCGGGATAATATACAGATTCCCATTCTGCACTTTCAGGTTTTCGTCTAGGTTGGTCATGGCTTGGAATTCGCCGTTCCCGAAGCCGCCGAGCTCGACGGTGCGTTTCCAGATGGAGGTGTCGAGGGCGCCGGAGGAGAAGTCGTCCTCGAAGACGACGCAGAGGTGGGACTCGTCGAGGAGGTTGATGTCGCGGAGCTCGAAGAGGCTGAGGAGGGCGGCGGCGAGGACGCCGAGGAGCATGCACGCGATGGTGGAGTACTTTGCGCGGCGCTCGCGGTCGTGGCGGGTTGCGAGCCATGGTTTGTCTTCTTTGGAGAGCTTCTCGGTTAGGAGGGTGGAAGGCAGTGGATCTTTGGCTGTGCGCGCGGGTGAAAATGAGCAGGCTGTCAGTATCAGCGGATATTAAGACTGGAAGTATGGAACGCACTTTTACGGACAGCAAATGCGAGAGCGGTGCTTGACCCAGAAGGCGATATGACATCTGGACCCGGACTCGGACTCGTCTGGGACGGGTATACCGGGGGAGTCCAGGCAATAGAGGAAACAGGCCGAGAGTTTGGGGAAAGGAAGGGGGCGCGAAAGATCATACTACTGGTTCGCGAAGACTCGTTCAGGTTGGGGCTGGAGCCTTTGGAATTGAGAGTACCTGCTGCAGAATTTCGATAGAGGGTATTTCGCGGGGAGCCATTCGGCGAGTTGGGGTGTTGTGCGTGTCCGGAGTCGGACATGAATGGAGCAACTGGGGGATCCAAGAGCTCGTCGTGGTTGTGCGAATCGTCTGAGGATCTTCTGCGTCCATTGGGGATACTTTCAATAGACGAACGGCGGGAAAGCGATGACGGAAGAGGATCGGGGTTTCCGGGATACGCCAGGAACGGGTAAGCGTAGGCAGAAGGAGGGGGTCGAATGCCTTCTAGCGTGTTCCTACGACGACCAGCTATTCGTCGGGGTCGAGGACTCTCAGAGTCTGAGGAATCCATTGTCGACGCGGAGAACTAGAGACTCTGGGGAAAACGTGGGTTGTTTATGTTCTTCATCTCCTGCACTTCTCTCACGATTATCAACGACGTAATTGTCACCAGATAAGTTCCATAAGTTTCATAAGTTTGGCGGTAGTTGTGAGGCCTTGGAGGGAAACGAAGGTTAATTGTCATCTATCATGGCTTTCTAGTTCGCTTCCCTGTGCAGAATTATAAAAAGTTTGCAGCGCTGTAGCTGCGAGGTGACGGCCATGTGTGGAAATTTGATACCAGATTTGGAAGAGGTCATCACGGTCACATGGCTTTAGCTAAGCAGTGCCGTCATGCCGATGCCAGTGCACAAAACTATGTAGGATCGCTGTCTAATGTATGAAGGTTCCACCATGTGGGCGTTGATGCTCATCATGTGGAGAAGAAATAATTGTATACCCCCGCTTGTGGTGGTTACTCAGCGTACTGACAACGTTGATGAAAGCTTGAAGATGGTTAGAGCAGATGATGGACAAAATTATTCGGAATGAGGACATCAACGTAAAGAAACAGAGTTCTGATTATGGTTCAATGGCGTAGTGGTTATCGCATCTGTCTTACATATTCGGTCTAGTTAAGATTGTACACAGAAGGTCTCCGGTTCGATCCCGGGTTGAACCATACGCATGCTGGCACGCGAGCATTGTCTACATTTTTTACTTTTTCGTATTGCCCAATCAAACGTTCATACCTCTATATCAGAAAACTTTCAGCTATCTGTACTGATGGATTCCAAGTGCCTGCCAAACTTTCAGTTCCATGTTGATAATAGTTTGAAGACGGTCAGAGCACTGAGCAGATGACAGAATCATTTGGAATGGGGAGGACTTCAATCTGAAATCATATGATAAAAAATTGTTCTGATTATGGTTCAATGGTGTAGTGGTTATCGCATCTGTCTTACATTCGGGTTTTGGTACTTTGTTGTACACAGAAGGTCTCTGGTTCGATATCGGGTTGAACCATACGCAATATATGCGACCTTCGTCTACATTTTTGTATTGCCCAATGTCTGACGTTGACGAAGCAGTGTGCCGACATGCCGATGCTACAGTCTACTACAGTAACTACTCAAGTACTTACGCTTGAGTCGCTGCAAAAATCTTGGACAAGATAAACTACATAGGATCGCTGTCTGCAGTGCGGGATTGTGCTCAGATTATACGGTGCATCATTCCCGCGTTGATGCGTATGATGGAGAAGAACGTGCATCACAGACGAGTTCTACACTCCAGTGCTTGTGGTGACTTTGCTCAAAACTACGACGTTGATAATAGCTTGAAGACGCTTAGAGCACTGAGCAGACGACAGGAGATTCTCTCATTATGGTTCAATGGCGTAGTGGTTATCGCATCTGTCTTACATTATCGTTCAGCCACTCTCGATGTACACAGAAGGTCTCCGGTTCGATCCCGGGTTGAACCATGCGTTGTAGGAACAAGAGCTGCATTTTTTTAAAAAATCGCCTAGCTAATGAAACTTCCCTAACATTCTTACATCCATAACAGAAAACCTCAGCTTTCCATGTACTGATAAATTCCAAGTGCCTGCCAAAACATTCAGTTCCACGTGGAGTTTCTCTTTTTTCATGCATGCCATCTCTCGCCCACTGAATTTTCGGGATCCAGACTGATTTCCGATCTCCAGCCCAACGTTAGTATCAGGCACTTCAGGCAGTTCAAGACGTCCAAACCTTTAAAGTTCTTCGATGTACCGGTGTTACGTTTCGAATTTATTGGGCTGACGCTCCCGCAAATCCAACCGAAGCGATGCCGGCAACATTGATGCCGAGTTGGCGCCAAGTTCTACTTTTAGCTACAGTACAACTTATTCAGTCATTGCAGTGGTAACTTTGAAACAAGTTTCTCCACATGAGTCGTCTCTGCGAGCAATAAGTTAAACAAAAAATGAAACTCAGCCCTGCGCCAGAAAGTTGGCGGAGAAAAAGTTATTGACCTATCAAACTGTTAGAGCACAGCCAACAGCCAATTCGCCCAGATGACGATCAAAACACGAGCAGGTACATACTTAATCTCTGTTCTTTTCCTTCTTCTTCGATATCTTCGTCCCCAATGGCTGTCAGAGCCCAGGCATCCACCTCATCGCTAACCAAGTATGCGACTGCAAAGTCTCCCGGTGTCGACTTGTACAACGGCAGCACCTCGCGGGACTTTTGTAATTCGTTCTGGGGCGGAGGAGATGCCGGTGTAAATGTCCTTTTTGCACGAATGAGAGGCGCTGCGAGGACTACTGATAATCTGAGGAACTTTTGGAAAGAACGGTATGTGGGATCGATATACACAGTATACAAATAGAATGGCTTAGTTTTCATCAGCTCGACAATCGAGGAAGAGTATGCGAGCAAGCTTTTACACCTTGCTCAGAGTACCATGGGCAAAGACGAGATTGGGTAAGATACTTTTTATTTATCCTCTGAACTGAATCCTCACAACCCTATGCTTCCAGCGAACTCCGTAATGCTCTCGACACTCTACAGCTCGAAACTGAAAAGCTGGCAAAGACACATCTTCAGCTATCTTCTCAGATTCGCACGGAGATGGAGGATCCGACAACAGCTCTGCTCAACAAACAGCTCGAGCACCGGCGCAGCACCCAATCCCCCGTCGAGAAAAAGTTCAAGTCGAAACTGTCCCAGGAATCATATGTGACAAAGGCACGGGAAAAATACCAAAGCGACTGTTTCCGCATCGCAACCTACAGCCAGCAGCTCGACAACCAGAGTCCAGACGCGGAGCGAATCCGCGTAAAGCTGAAGCGTGCGGAGCAGACGGTGGGGGCGAACGAAAAGGACTATGCGGCTTTTGCGAAGACGTTGTCTGATATGATCCCGGGATGGGAGGAGGACTGGAAGAACTTTTGTGATTCGTGTCAGGATCTCGAAGAGGAGAGACTGGACTTTATGAAGGACAATCTATGGGCTTATGCGAATGCTGTTTCTACCATCTGTGTGGCTGACGACGAGGTAAGCCCCATCATTCCATCGCCCACAAAATTATGATGAACTAACACACCTTTTGCGCCTTTTGTAGTCTTGCGAAACCATCCGTACCGTCCTAGACCAACTCGAAACCGATCGCGACATCGAAGCGTTCGTTCAAGAATACGGCACCGGCAACTCCATCCCCAATCCTCCAGACTTCGTCCCCTATTCCGGATCCACCAACGCAAACGGGTCGACTCCTTCCCTAGTAGGCAGCGTAACCGCTACGGCCGTCTCGACGCGTCCCGCCAACTACGCGCGCAAATCCCGCAAACCGTTCCCTGCATATACCCCTGCGGCATCCGCGAACGCTGCTGCTGCCCTAAGAAGAGACCCGTCGGTAACAAGCAGTGGCCAGAATCACCGGACACCTTCACCCACTCGTGCGCCTACGAATAATAATGCGTTCCCGCCAAGAGGAGCGAATAATGTGCCCCCGCCGCCTCCGACGTCGCCTCCGCAAATCCACCAGTCTCCGCCGCAGGCGCGGAACGGGAATGGACCGAATGGGTATAGTGAGCCAGACCCTAAGCGGACAGCCGCATTGACGGATAGACGGATGACGCTTCCGCCACAGCCTGCAGGCATAGAAGTGGCGGCCCCGATCCCGCCTGCAGCTCCTACTGGCGACGAGAGAAACAAGATCCTCTTCTATGGTACGTGTCGCAATTGTTTGTGTCCTTCACCCATTTCTCATTGGGCTTCTGCTTTTCACAGTGGAAGCGATGTATGACTACACAGCCACGATAGACGAAGAGTTCAATTTCCAAGCTGGGGATATCATCGCAGTGACGGACATTCCGGACGACGGGTGGTGGAGCGGGGAGCTGCTGGACGAAGCTAGGAGGGAGGAAGGAAGACATGTGTTCCCGAGCAACTTTGTGCGGCTGTTCTAAGTGTGGGGTTCTGCTAGTTTCAGATCTACTTACATATTTCTTGGATACTTGTTCGCGTCTCTCTCTTTCCTTTAATTAATTATTTCCAGTTATTTCCCCATTATTCCCGTTCTTCCACGTCTTCCACGTAAGTTATTCTACTACTGCTTTCTGCCCACATGTACGAAAAAGTACGTTTGCCTTTTACTAGTCTGTATCCAGAGTTTTCCATTAAAACTCCATTCCTGCTCATTACTCGGCGTTCACTTTAACTAGTCTTTACATTTGTATCCAGAGTTTTTCATTAAAACTCCATTCCTGCTCCATTCTGCCAACTATTGATACTTGGCATATTTTTCGTTGACAACTTGCTTGAAAACCATCTGTTTTTGACATTTCGCATCATTTCGTGGGAGGATGAGAACATGTTCAGATGCATGCATCTTTCATTTCTTCCGTTCTGCACGTCTCTTCTTATCCACAGTTTATCCAACCAGTCATCGGACTAGATACTTGCTTGGCCTTTGGTGGGATTACACCTAGTATTTGGCGCCAGAACGATAAACCTCTTTTGGGTGTTATTAGGCCGAGAACGCGCTAGAAGTCGACGACCAGGGCGGACGGCGCTTAGCGATGGACCTTGTGTTCTTACCCTTGTTTTATACGTCACAAAGGTCTCTTGCCTAACGAGTTGCTTTGTTCCTGCTTTCTTGGCGTCTGCTTTTTCATTTCAGCCGCAAAAGTTTCAGCTAAAACCTGCGAAACCTGGGGCGACTGGGCGCTTTGTGGACCCACACAAAAGCCTGTTTCCGTTTTCCCGGCGGCCGTTTTTTTCCTCGTTTTTTCTTTTGTGGCGAAAACAAAGGATGCCCGGTTAAGGCATCCTACTTGGAAAAAAACCAAACGTCCTTTGTTCTCTTTCATTTGATACTTAATAGGTGGTAGCGGTCCCGAATTGGCCACATTAAACGCGTTGTACAACTGTACAACTAAACTCTTCTGTATACGCCACGCCGACTAGTGCCCCCGAAACTTCGAAGAGATACATCTTCACATAACCTTCACATAACCCATCTCGTCTTATGCGGCGCCTCATAGGCCTAAAGGCTTCCCGCCACAACAGCACTCAACAGCCTACAACCACAGATCACAGCCCTCCCCCAGCGTCACCCGAAATCCACATCCATTCCCAAAATGCATACACGCACCAGACACCCGCGGAACCCACCGTAACTTATCACACTAATTTTCTTGGCCTCTTCGCCGAAAATGAAGACGATACCCCCATTGCTACCACACTCGAGCCGAGGCTCACAGACTTTGTGCCCCCCATGGACGTCCACGAGTACGACTCTGAACTCGGGCATTCTGACCACATGCCCACATCCGGTCCCAGAGGTCCTCGACAGATCGAAGACCTTGATTACGTTGGAGGCTGGGGATTCGACCAATCTGGCAACCAGCAGTATGTAGCGGGCGGGAGAATCGAGGAAGTCGAGGATGAGGGAGCTGTAGCTGGGCCCTCGCGGCTGAGGGACGCAATGTCGCTGCCTTCAACGACGACTCCACCCCCACGGCCGCTTCTCCGCACGCGAAGAGAACTCTCTCAGTCGCCGCTCGTCCCGGAATATCACCGGTTCCAGACCCAGCATCCCCGGGTTGCGGATATTACGCGGACCACCCCGGCACGCTTTGCTTCTCCGCTTTCGATGTCCGGGTCCAGTCTTCCGCTGAGAGGATTCTCCCAGCACACCCATGATGGACAATTATTCTCAGAAGAGCTTTCGCCGCTTCCTTTACCATTCGATAACGCAGCTCAGCCCTTAGCTGGTTCTTTGTCGAGTTATATAATCCCCGAGGAGGCCACGTTTTTGCCTACGGGGGATGCATCTGCACCATTGACCGACTCCCTTGCAAGCCTTCCGCCATTGCGTGGATTCCATAATTTTCCTGCGTACCCCGAGCGTATTTCCGAGGAAGATCTGGTTCCTGAACCCTTCTCCTTTCCTTCTGAAGAAATGGCGATAGCATTTGCAGATCTGGGTAACTCTCTTGATAGTCTTCCGCCACCAGGGCCCCGAGAACCCATGATTACTCGTGCACCGGATGTCAGTCAGCGCCCAATGCCTATTCCTTTGCAACGTTCGACGGAAGATGACGAGAGGATCATTGAGCAGAATATCACTGCTATCAAGGAGATATCGCAAATGGTAGAAGCCATACGATCGGTGAGTAAATTGTTGTTGAACGCGTACAAATGTTCCTCAACTGGTTATCCTAGCACGTATCAAGTCTCCGCCACTTGCGAAACGTCCAGCCACATCTCGAGACGTGTGCCGATATTTCAGAGTCGCTTTTGCGCGTACAGCAGACCCTTACACGTCGGCGGACCCTTCCCCAGGAACACTGGTCTCATCTGAGTTCATCATCGCGTTCAAGATACGAAAATCGTTTGTTGTCGCTACAGAGGTGATTCTTGTGTTTTGTAACCGTTATTCCTACCGTCGACTCAAGGCTTGAGGAAACTCCATAGATGTCTACGAAGACTA